TAGAGTCTAGACAACAGACAAGAACAGAACACAAACTAAAGGATAACAAAATATCACAAACTAAATCATGGGCTTAACTGACAATCACTTATAAGAGATCGTTTTATTTGAGATAAGTGAATTAAGGATATATAAAATCCAACTAACGATCCCTTTTAGCTTTCTTCACTTCGATCCTGTACGTACACTGAGCTCTAAGGTCGAAGTGGTTATCTTCTTTGTAAAGGCTGATCTCATCATTTTTTTTAGGAAAATGATTTGTGCACACCCGGGTCAACACCCGGGTGTGCACACTCCCCATTGAAAAAAAAAAAGGGCCCATCACCACCCGATCCAAATTTTTTTTTTTTTATGTGGGGGTGCACACCCGGGTGTTGGATCCGGGTGTGCACCAATCAAGATCCTTTTTTTTAATGCCTTTCTCGTTTATGAACTTCTTCCAACCATTAGTGAAACATATCTTGCCGCTCTGTTTTTTTATGGTAAGCCAGTGAGTACCCCCCTGATCATCTTTAACCACCAACTCCGGGATCTTGCCGCTTGATAAATTGCTGTGATATTCAGGTGAAAGATTTGTCAAGATAACATCAACAACTGGACACTTCAGTTCATTTCCAAGGTCATTGCTCTCAATCTTTCTATGCTCAAAGATGGCCGCCATTGTGTTGGATTGGATAGATTGCTTTGATATAAGAGAAAAAGAGAGAGAGAATTTGAGAACTAGAATGGCAAGTATATATCAGCTCTTAAATGGATCCCATATTTATAGCCAAAGATATCAATTAACCATGTCGCTTGATTAAATCAACAAATAGATTACGTACTTATTGTTGTGATAAGATTTTGTTTTTTTGCATAATGTGAATTGGGATTCATTAGATAACAGATTGATCGATCGAGAGCTTATTACTTTCGAAGGATGATTGCGATGAGTCCTAGCGATCCAGAAATGGTAAAAGTTGCGAAATTATACGATTGATGGAGTTACACTTTCGATATTTTAATAGCTATGGTGATGTTGGACAGCTAGATAAATCAATTTCTATACTCTTAACTGGCAGTGGCGCCGTTCTCGCGCTGCCAATGTTCGATTTCATGCTGAGCTCGAGTAGTCAATAATTAGTAAGCGCACTAGGTAGTTAGGATTCGGTTTAGATTGAGAGAGAAGCCGAAAGTTTTCTTGCGACTTTTAGCTGATATATATACGTGAGATTAAAAAAAAAAAATTAGATTTCTTATATTAAACTGGAAAAAAAGACCTTTGAATTGTTCAACTTATTACTGTGTTTGGCTTATGAATATTCAATAATATATATAAAAAAAAAAGTGTATATCAGTCATATTTATAAAAATTTAAGTGAAAAATATTTTAAAATTAGTTTATTTTAATAAATATTATT